ACACACACACACACACACACACACACACACACACACACACACACACACACAGCAGCAGCAGCAGGACTGCATTCTCCTTTTCACATCCTGGTAGACTTCGTGGGACATTGTTCATATATTATAATGTGGTGCCAGGGCGTTCCATCATTGCTCGGCCTATTTATAACACGGCAGCGTGCGCTAACTTTGTAGCCTACTCAGTTACTGCTAAAACTGGTTCACAGCAATAATGCAAAGTCTGTGTTTTCCTTCTAACAGTGCCACAGGCTTTACTGAAGGAGGCAGACCCCAGGATAATAAGCACCACCTCCTTTCCCACCACAGAAAAAGGTAACGTGAGTTGTAATTTGGCTGCARTTGGTTTATTTTTATGTTTTTATCACGCTTGTAATCTTCCCAACAGCTTCTCCGGCAGATGTGGAGGAGCCTTCTATCAGAGGGTCGGGCAGGCCTGAAAGCTCGGGGGCGATGGTGAGCAACTCTCTCCTGGCATACGTCTACATCAGAGGTAACTGTTCCCCACACGCCACAGCTGTGAGTTCACATCATAATCACGCAGGGAATCTGAAATCCCCTCTCCTCCATGCTGCGTCCCGCTGACTCAGAGCACCCGGAGATGGCGGCGCTGCTGTTCACCTCCAGCGTGTGCGTGGGCCTCCTCGTCACCCTGCTGGCCCTGTCCGTCCGGGTGACCTGCCGTGGGCGGGGTCGGGGACTCGCAGCCGAGCCAGGCGGCCAGGAGCGGGACCACAAGGAGGATGAGGAGGATGAGGAGGATGAGGATGATGAGGACGATGACGAGGAAACAGAGAGCTCTTTGCTCTCGGCCGCAGAGAGGAAGGCGGGACACAGCTGGGATGAAGTGACGTACGTGAGCGAGGCGGCCGAACTGGCGGAGAGGATCGAGCGCAGAGACATGATCATTCAGGAAATTTGGATGAACTCGTATCTGAACGGCACCCCCTGTTGAAGAGAGGACCCTCTRTGGGTGCTGCACACGAGCTTTAGCTCACAACCAAAGAGACTTTTTTTAAAAATCGTAATGCAGAGCAGTGTCGCAGTCTTTGCAATGGAAGAATGCAATATCTGCAATGGAGTCAAGTTTTGTGCTGCAAAAAAAGGCAGCTTGTATTTAAATGCTGTATTTACTCACTTTTACCAGCAAAAAAGCTGAAGTTATGTTATTTTCACAGGTTTAAACCACTGAGTAGAATTCATAAAGCTGTTTTTTCATTGTTTTCTGCATCTTGATGCATCATGTTATTATCATTCAGTCTCACGGCAGCTGGCTTATTTACAATAGTAACAGAGAGAGGTGTYCTGCATGTGAAAGGCTCAAAATGTGCATTTTTTTTTTTTTACCCATCTTCATGACATTACAATGGGGCTWTGGTAGCTCAGTGCTGCAGCTGAGGTTGCAGGTTTGAGTCCAGTTTGCATCATCACCAAATCTTTAATGAGTTCGCTCCCTGTGGTAACCTCTTAAGGGAGCAGCTGAAAGAAAAACAGCTTCACAATATTGCAAAGTGTATTGTTTTAGTRTAACATAAAAAAGACTGCTTTTGATAGCATCTATGCACACTGCATGGCACAATGTTTGAAGCKCTCACGGGCCACATAAAGTTCTGTGGCAGGCCACAAATGGCCCGCAGGCCTTGAGTTTATGTTATGTTATTTTTTCCTCTACAGCAATGGTTCACAAAGTTAGGGTCGGGACCCACAATGGGGACCCGAAACATCAAGGTGGGGTCCTGAAAAGATTTTCTGAATTAATTCTATTAGAAAATAATATATATATATATATATATTTTTTTTTTGCATTTGTTGTTGCAAGAGTAAGGCTAGTGTTCCTAAAATTGACAAAAACAGATAATGAATATTGTTACTATGTTCTTATTTTTTTAATGTGAAAACAATGTTTATCATCCAACTATTGGGGGGCCCAAGTCTCTGCTGCTGGTATTTTGAGGGTCAAAAGCTGACAGAACTAGATTAGTGGCACTTATTGATTCATTTACTGTATGCCAGAGGCCCAGGTTCTCTGCCGTGTTCCTTCACARCTGGCCTCTTTCCATCATCAAACATTTCCACCTTATCAAGGCTGTGGAATAAAGAGTTACAGATCAGTTTGCTTCCCTTTGCTGAGACGATTCAAACACAGCCACTTCCTGCCTCTGAGCTGCAGGGACTGTAGGAAAGCGTGCGTGCGCACACTATTATGAGACAAAGAGAGGAAAGGTGTAGCATCCTTGTTGCTGCACTCAAAKGGGGTGTTGAACTTTCATTTATGATGTCACCGATTATTGGAAACAATTCTTTATTATTATTTTAACACAAAGTAAAAGACATTTGAAAGCATAAAATTCTATTGATCAGAACGGCARTTTTCTGTGATGAGTCAAGATACAGAATATGTCAAATAAGACAAATGATAATTTCTGAAAGACTCAAGGTGTCTTGATCAGCTGCATTCAGAGATGTTTAAGTTGTTTAGTGGAGGTGCAGAGAATAGTTCTGAGTGTTATCTTGGCCCCCATTTGATATTAGTGAGTCCCTGAAACTGTCGTTTGAGAGCCTGTCTGTCTGACCACCCTGAGTCCAGGTAGCTGTCATCGTCTGYCTCCTCCAGTTTCTGAAAAGGATGTAAGAAGACCGTGAGACTGCACATTCAGTCCAGATACAACACATGATCTGGCTTCGCCTGGACTCACCTTAAGTTCTTCCTGCCTTCTGTAGTGATGCAGCATCATCTGTTTCTGCTGCTCATCAGTGACCAGAGGCTCTCTCGCTGGTGCCCCCTGTCCTCTCTGAAATGAATAACAAATAATAATAATAAAAAAGAAACAGTTGCCTGTTACAAGCTGCAAAAAAAAAACTTTCAGATGGCTTTTACCTTTTGGATTTTCACCACAAGCTTTGTCTTTTCATTTTTGCCAATATAGTCCTGCAGCTTTTTGCCTCTCTGCATCTCTTTACCAGCCCACCACAACTGGCATTCATCCTCGGAGACCACCTGGAGAGATGCCTGAGGTGTGAAGATGCATGGAGTGAAAAGAAAAATAGAGAGAAAGGAAGAATGGACAGCAGTTTATCTTCAGGATGTTTTACCTGTGTCCCTGAAAGATCTTCCTTGTTGTCAAACTCCATCCTTATAGGGTCATGAGGAGGCAGTCCCATGGGGTACACGATCGTGACTGCACCCCTCAGCTGATCCAGTGCTTCCTTTACCATTTCCATTGTGACACAAACATTTGCTTGAACTTGTTTCTGCAAAATTAYAAAAACACACAACAAATGTGATTGGTGTTGTCCTCTCACTTCGACAAATAAATCCAAAGATGATTTTTTTTACCTTGGATATTAGTGCCTTTGCCTCCTCTACTGTCCTCATCAGCACCTCCTTCATTTTGTCATCAGAAGCTTATTTAAGGGAGAGACTTTTWAAAAAAACAAATCTGACCACGTGTCAAAATACTGCAGTTCCAAGAAATAATTAAAAGCACAGTCTGCTTTAATTCTTACAGAGTAAAACTAAATAATTWAACTGTTACCATGTCCGTTCCTCCGTCCAGTCTCGTCTTTTCTAAACACTGGCCCTCCACTAGGAATGCACCTGTCTTCCCATTCATCCTTCAGCTTCAGCTCCAGGATCTGCTCCTCTGTCAGCCCCTGCATGTTGGGTGGAAGTGTGATCCCATGATCTGCAAGCTCTCGGATCTCTGAGGAAATATTCACACAAAAGAAAAAAAAAACACATTGGTGTCACGGACAAAAAAACATTGCATGCAAAATATTTAGACAGTATGCGTTGTAACAAACATCAACAAAAAACATAGTATTGAAGATTTTCCTTTTGACACTCCCATGCATGTGTTCAGACATATATTTCAAAGTGCAGTGTGAAAAAGGCGACCAAAGACACCAGTAAAGGTTTTCACCTGAACATATTCTGTCGACCTTCAGCCTCCCGTTGTAGATGGCWGTAATTTGTTGGATCACCGTCTCCAGAGCAGCGACGGTCGTCGTGTTGAAAAGAAACTGGCTCTCATCTCCGCGCTTCACGTGCAGCTGCACCATGGTCTCCACCAGCCTGCTTCCTGAAAGAAGTGGGCAGAAATTTGTTTTCAATTTAAACTGAGCCGCAAGTCTGGACGGAAGGATTTAGTCTAGCTGGTGTCTTTGAGGTAAACAAAGTAACTATGGTAACGGACGCAGACGGCCGACAGACCGATGCTAGCTTAGCTAATCTTGTGCTAATGATAGGCTCCTGTTGTTACACCGTTTAATCAACATACCTATAGGGAAAAATAAAGATTATTAACATTTACCTGTGCAGCCAACTAGCAATGAAGTTCTTTCGCTGGTAAAGTTTGATTTTTAATCCGTTTCTAACAACCAAACACATCTACAATACGTGAGATTCTTCTTCTTCTTCTTCTTCATATTATTATTCTTGTTCTTCTTCTACGCTTGGGTTAATGTAAACGACTCTTATTGACTTTACCAGACTTACTGCCCCCTCGCGGCAAAAAATGGCATAACAGTATGAGTTGAGTTTTTATTTTATTTAAAAAAAGATGTAACTTAGTTTCAAATTCATTTATGTCACTTAATTTTTTTAAATCAAGTCTTAATGAATGAGAAGCCATTCAAGCTGTGATTTACTAATGTATTTTTATGTGTTTTCTGAGAGTATTTGTGGAATCTGGGTGACCCAATTAGGCATAAACATGTGAATAAATAAAAACAGGACCAGACCCTTCGGCTAAARTGGTAAAGAGGCCCCATGTCATCCTACCAAACAACAAACAAAAATAAATAAATGAATAAATGAATAAATAAATGAATGAAAATTTCCACAATAAACACAGATGACTACAATATCACAATTGAGACAAAATGAACAACAAAAAACACAGGTACAAAATGACCAAGACAGATCAATCAAGCATACATTTATGTAATAACCACACAAAAAGTGCAGATTTGCCAACGTGGGACCACATACAAATGATAAATTAGATAAATGAGTTAAAATGACCAAAACAAAACAAAATAAATGTATTCGTGCATATTAAACTAGGACAGAAAATTTGCATAAATTGAACCTTTAGTTTGGTATCTTGCCAATCTGTTAGACAAGTCTGTGTCTGTTTAAAGCTCTACGCCCATGGGCACAGACATTCTATCTGTTTATGCGGTTAAAGRAAATTACAGAAAAGTCTGAATTAGATCATCAAAACAAGGAAGCATAACACATTTTTTTCACTTGGAATAAAAAAAAGGAACGGYGTGTTCCTTTAAAGTGAAACGTCGATTTAGATTATTATTCTGAACATTAGCACCTCCTAGTTTCTGATAAATCATTAGCATTTAAACCAACTCTTTACCGATAACATTTGGAAAATAAAGTAAAAAATAAATCTAAGAATGCCAAGACAATAAAAATACTTTTTAGTGAATAAAACTAATTATACGTTGTGCAATCAAGTTACAGCCTGCAGCGAAAAAGCAGCAAACGCTCGTGTCAACAWACGTTTATTTTTGCATACATACAACACAAACTGCTTCATACATAAATGYGCCATTTGCTTTGCACGTAAACTATGGAACATTAGATATTAACATGAATTACAGCTTTGTGTTTTCACTTTAATACATACAGAATGATTCACAACACAGACTCCTATTTACTACAGAATAAAGCCGTAAAGGGGAGGGACATCCATGTCACAAATGGAGAAACTTGATTTCTAATAAAAAAAGAATAAAACAATTTTGAACCTTTAAAATCGTGACATGACAAAGCACTGGCTAGTAACCTGATACAGCATCTACTGCACAAACAAATGTTTTTTTTTTTAGAGATCCAGCCTGATACTTGCAGTGTCCATTACTTTTTGCTTATTTTACAAACGTGTAAAGAGCGTAGAAGCAATACTTAAGTGGTTCTATCAWGAATCTGATGTGTTTTTTTTATGATTCATGAAAATGGTTACCAGACACTTCTGCTGAATATATAATTTCTGAGGACAGGAAGGGAAACAGCTGATAAGTGCCGCTTCCTCTCTGATCCTTTAACACACYTATTGCTCATCATCATAGTCGGTAATGAGTGAAGCAGGTAGTGCAGGACAAAAATACTGACACATACAAATAATTAAAATCTAAGGGAAGCTCAGCAGAAAAAAAAACACTCAACTGGAATAAATAGTTTGAATTCAAAGATTCTGAGCTATTAGTTCAGTCTACGTGCTCAGTAATGATGAGTTTGGCTGCRTACAGTATGCACACACAGCTGCAGCCCTGATAGGAGAAATAAATGGTTGCAGGCTGCTCAGTCTGTTAAGAAATGTTGCTTTTTTATCCAAAACAGATTATTTTTGGGTGGGGAGGGGGAGAAACTGCAACGTTCAATTCTAAAATCTGTACACGCACGCATCCAAACACAAACACGACAATGGACGGTATGCACCTCAAACACAGCACATCACGTCGCACCACAGCCATAGCAGAGTAACYGTTACAAGAACTGAGAAGTATGGCTCCTCCTTTACCTAGAATCAAAGTTTCGAAAGAAAAAAAAGTGCTGTCCTGCTTGCTGATCCAAGCCATACTATGGTTGTACTTTGAGTACATGTAGACACACAAATACAACATTCTCTGAGGTTGAAATAACACAGTTTGGTGCTTTAGAGAAATCAAAAAAAGGAGACACTACAGAGGAAGAAAAGTAGTAAACAGCCCTCTTATTCAGTACTTTCTGTAATGAAATGTACATTTTTAAGTAAAGGTTTTAATTTAGAGCTACAAAATATCGTCAGTCAAATGTATCAGCTTACAGACAATTAACGCTGACTGAAACATAATGTGTTACGATTAAATGGAAGTGGTATGGATTCAGTCCAGCGGCTGACGGATCGCCTCATGTTGCTTTTTAATCTCACACCGTGATGTCAACATAAAGGCAAAAACATCAGTGCAAATTAAAACTACATTCATTAAAAAATATATAATAAATCAAGACATAGTTTGAAAAAGAATCCAAACATCAAAACAGAAAAATCACACCGCTGCAGAAAACAGCACATTTAGGGCCAAGTTACACCTGCATACAGTATTACACCATGACGGATTAAAACCAACAAATTACACTCAGAGAATTCCATGACCAACGATGGATATGAGCCGCTGTGTCGCTGCAGGAAGGAACTGCAAAGCCACGTAGGTTTACCTCACCGCCAGATGCAGCACAGTTATATCTTGATATTGCACATGTAGTTAAACATATTGTTTGTATATATATTTATAGAACAACACACTGTAGATACAGGCACACAATTGCTGCTGTTGAAACGTTGAAAATTTAAAAGCTAATAGCAAGGAAGAAGGTAAACCTCTCGGTTTAAAACAAAAAGTTGTTGTGGTTTGATATATAAATCCTTTGTGATTTTGAAGGGATATACTTCTTAAATATTGTCTCTTTTGTACATACACACAGACATATACACATTTATTATAGATCTATACATATATATGAATAYGCCCCTTGCAGATGAGGGGTGATATTATCTTTCTGTCGACTCCCTGGGGAAAAAGCCGTTGTTACTGGGTCCCTCTGGGAGATTTGGGTTAATGGTTGCAGTTCTAGTTGGGATGGGAGGRGGCAGGGTGGGAAACACCCCGGCGGCCGAGGATAACCAGTCTGGCTCCGAGTCGAACACGGAGTGGGATGGCAGAGTCTGGGTTTGGGACTTGAGCGGGGTGGAAGGGAAAAAGGGGTTCTGTTGTGTTTTGGTCGGGGGTTTTAAATTCAAATCATCATCGAATGTGACCCACCGCCTCGTTTGGTTCCCTCCTGAAGGGGGTGGGTGACTACGGGGCGCGAGGGCGGGAGGAAGTGAGGAAGGGAGCGTCGGGGGTAAAGTGGGAGCAAGAGGGAGCAAAAGACTCGGACTTGACGTGGATCCGAACAGAGACACGGTTCTGTCCAGCTGGGAGGCGGGAGCAGCTGCGGGGGCGGGGCTGGGAATGAGCGGCTGAGCCGGTGTGGGCGGGATCTGAGGCTGGCAGCTGAAGTCTGGGGTGAGCGGGCGCCGCTGTTGATGCTGCTGCGGAACCAGAGGGCCCGTGAACGGGTTGGTGCTGCTGGGGCGGGCGGGGAGCAGCTCGGACAGGAAGGGGCTGGGGGAGGCCCGCAGCGTCTCCTGGGAGCGGCTGCGAGACGGGACGGGAGGCGGCGGGAGCAGCGAGGGAAAAGAAGTCGGGTCCGGGAACGGGCGGTCGGATGACGGCGACGACTGGTGGGACAAGGATGAGGGGAGGGTGGAGGAGGAAAACGCAAATGGAGGAACRGAGGGTGGAGAGCGCAGGGAGGAGCCTCTGCTCAGTGACTGGGTGCTGTGTTGGAAGGATGAGGACAGGAAGTCTGATGTAAGCGTGTCAAACGGGTCGGGCTTCTGTTGTGCTTCTTTAAGGAATCCATTCAGTCCATTTGTCTAAAGTGAAGAAAAACAAAACATCTTTCAGAATAAAACAGAAAAAACAGACCATGTGCTAAAAATCAATGAAGTGTGAATATTATGGGCCTTAGGCTTGGAGACARAACAGAAAAAATAAAGATACCCTTTGGAGCTAGTGAACAATGTGACACTTTATTAAACAAAACAACAATAAAATTGTTCATTCAAGCTTTTAATTTGTTCAATTTGTCTAGCTCCTTTTAAATATACGCTTTTTATTCCTTTAATTTTCATCACAGGGTACCTTTAATGTAGCAGACTTAAAAAATTAACAATGACACATGTGACAATCAACAGATTGACTAAATGTAACATAAATTAATGGATTTGGATTAAATTAAAAAGTTAAAACAATAGCTATGTCTCAATTTAGGGRATGCAGCCCACGTAGACCACACCCTATGAGGGCCTTAGGCCATGTAGGCTGCATAAACTGCTTTAGTCTACGGATGACGTGTATTTGGTGATACGTTTTATATCACATATTTAAAAACAAATTCTTTCATCCGTGATAAATTTCCAACTCCACCGTCTTCATTTTTCTGTTTAGTTTGCTGACTGTACAATGAATAGTGGGATGCCGTTGGCCAWGTAGGACACCACGTTTCAGGGATTTTGTGAGCAGCAGGAGCTCATGAATCGGGACAGCCTACAGTGATGTCAACAGCCAATAAATACGCCCTACCTGGACTGCAGCCCCTGAATTGAGACACARTTTATGCACATATGAGCTCACCCTAACCCTCTGCAACACAGTGAGATCACATGRTGGACTAAATGAGGGGAAATGGCAACAAGCTTTTAATATCAAGTACCTTTCACCCTGACGGCTTCTCCAGCTTGTGAGAAAAAGACAAAAGCAGGAAGAATGACAAAGACAACTAAGTTCATCTAATGTGAGTCAAAGAAGAAGAAGAAACAAAAGATTTCCTTTTCTATCACTACTTATTATCACGATAACAGTAACTATGTTCATGTTTGTTCAGTCCAGTCATTTAAAAGAAATGGGTACTAACCTGTGCAGCTGGGGCCGTCTCAGCCTTGGCAGCATCAGGCGGTAGAGCATGAGAGGAGCGGGAGCGTGGTGGAGGTTTAGGAGACAGGCTGGGCTGAGGCCCAGTCGGGGTGGGGGTGCTGGGGGCTCCAGTGGATGGAGTCGGCGCTCGGGGAGCGGCGGCTTGCTGCGGCTGCAGAGGAGCTGGGAGTGTGGGCTGCATCGGCGGAGGGAGCTGAGACTGAACGGAAGGGGCAGCCGGCTGAGGCTTCATCGGTGACTGAACCTGGGGTTTCRCAGCAGAGGGGGCTGCAGGAGGGGGTCCTGAAGGGGGAGGACCTGAGTGGAGAAACGGAACAAAAAAAGGTGAGAAGAGAAACACATTCTCGTTTTTTTGAGGTTCCTAACAAAATATACATCTTTAACCATCGATGCAGCCTCAATTCACAATCTGCTGCCTCTGTCTGACAGCATCAGGACCAAGGTTATAATGGTTTTGGATTTTTCATTATAGTTTAGTTTTATTTCGTTTTGACT